AAGCACTCTCGGAAAGCCGCAGTACGTCCACTTGCGTTCCAAAACCAGCAATGCATGTGGGCACGGAATGTATACTGCCAGCGATGTTGCAATTCCTGCAGCTTCTGGGAATCCTGCTAGCAATCTTCTGAGCGAATCATCAGACAAATGAAAAAACCATTTTCGTGCATGCCGTGCCAAATGCTCGGCCTGTGCCTGCACCGGCACGCCAGACGTTCCACAAGAAGCATGGCTGACTTTGCAGAACACCAGAGGCATTGCATGATAAGTAGTGAACTTCCAAAAGTCCTGCAAATCTTGGCACTCTCCCCTCATGAACTGCCAGGGATGGGCAATGAACTCTGGCTCAAGAATCCCGAAACCAATGACCTTGCCATGCAAAGCATCCGTTGCTTCTGTCCACAAAGACGCCGCAGTCTCTGCAGTGGCATTGGCCGCTTCTGCACACAGGAATTGCCCAAGCTCACCTTCCAAGCTGCTCAGCGCTTCAATGACACGGGGTGTGTAAAGTGTTTTGGCAGGCACCGCTACATCTGAAGATGAGCTGGTGCTTCCCAATCTTCTTCCGAAGCGGAGACGCCTGCTTCTAGCCACAATCCAGCAAAACATGAGGACATGGCGAAGCAAGTTCATGTCAGGTAGTCATGTCACTTTTCTAGCCGCCTGAGGAAAACATACGCTGCATCTACCACCTCTAGTCTAAAGCAAGGGCCCGGGTCTTTGCGATTCCTGTTCAGCTTGCAAATGTGCTGGCCTGCTGCACTACCTGCACATGTATATTATTCCTGATAACACGCCTTCTACAGGTCCTAGCTGTCTTTACTCTGATTCGCTTTGCTACTACTTGCATGTTGTCGCATCCTACCAAGCCTCCACACAGACATTGTGCCTACTAGTTCGGCCAACGCGCTGCAGCAAACAGCGAACCATGCAGCAAAACATCTTGCTCCTGCTCTTTCATGTCTGCACAAAACTTATGCCACAGCCTACTCCCATGCATCTGGGAAGAAAACTTCTGTCCAACTTCATTTGTGACGAAAGCACACGGCATGCCAAGAAGGGCAAAGCATTACAAGCATCGGTGCTTCCGATGTGTTATTTCCTCTCCAACGAAGCTTCTTTGTCGGGCTTTGCTGGGAGGCTGGGCCGGATTGGGTATCTGACCACCTGTGCAGTTTTAACTCTCCAAAAGCTTCAACATGTGAAACCTATGTCCAAACTACTGCTGAATACTGGAAAAATTTTTCAAATCCTGGAAGGTGAAACGTGAATCGAGCTATCTAGCAAAACTAGCACGAACTGCCAGACGCCACCACCACACTCGTAGTCGTAGCTGATGCGCACATAGTACAAGCCGCCCCCAGGGTCTGCTACACTGTCGCCATGACAAACAATGTCAAAATGAAACTACGAAGCCGGCACAGCTACAGAGGCCGAGCATAATGGGACATCCACGATTCAAGCAAAAATCAAAACCCGTCCACTCGACCATGTGTTTGCTCTCAAGTGTCCGGTGCTTTCCAACACCGGAAATACTGTTACGTAAACTGGGAGTCTTTGCTGACACCCACCAGATGCATCCACAGGCCTGCAGACACGACTACTGGAAAGACGGGTTTTACCAGTCCTTGAGCCGCTCGCAAGGGCATCAACTGCTTGAAGTGCACCCAAGGCCGCACAAAGTCTTCGGAGGTACGTTGCGTTGCCAGTTTTCGCGCTGTTTTGCAAGCAACGCAGATCGAGTGAATTTGCAACATTCATGAGGATCTCCACCTTGCCGCTGCGGGCAGGTCAATCGCGACAGCGATCGCTACAGCCTGGTGCGCATTTGTCAGAATTTGCCGTCGGTGTCCAAGCTCGAATTGTCGTGAAAAACACTGCTCCGTTGAAAGAACCTTTCTCTGCGAGAGGCACTTGCTACTGTTGTAGAAGTGTTGGCTGTTGCGGACGTGTTCTGGCTGGAGGCCACAACTTAGCCGGCTGGGTGCTGCGGGTTCACCTCTTGCGTCATAGCGTCATAACTCCAAGCTCCAAAGCCGAGCTGGAGCTCGAAAGAGCCAAAGAATGACGAGTGATCGACGAGTAGGAGTTTGCTGCTGCAGCTGCAATGTCAACAGCTGATGTCCGGATCCCATGCCAGATTTGTTCAGATGCTTCAGATTTCACAAATCTCCGACAACTCTTGGGCATCCGACGAGCAGTCCACGCATTGTCAATGAAGCCTCACTTTCAGTGCTCCGGCCGTTGCAGTCGTTGTGAAGACATTTGTCGTGCCGCGAGGTTGAAACATTTGTGCGCGCGCATTCAAACTCCAACGGAAGCGGAGCAGAATGGTGCAATGTTGCTCTGTGGTTCTGGCCGCAAAAGGAGAAACTGTGTTCCCGGCATGGCTGCAACAGAATGAACAGACGGTCGGCGCTGACTGGTTTGGTTCTTTGCCTGCACTCCTCAACTCTCTCGCCCACCCGCCCCGATCTTTGCAATGTTCTCGTTTGCTCGAAAAGGCGGCTCCGGCATTTGCTTGGAAGTGGCGGCCAAGGGCAAAGTGTCAACAGACATGCACCGTGGTTGACACGTCCGCCGGCAGTCGACCTGTCGTCTCAGAGGCTTTTCAGCACTCATTTAAAGATACTTCCCTGATACTGCAGCGATGGCAGCCTTCACTGTTTGTGGCGCGGGCAATCTCTCCGAGCCGGTGGACCTCCCTGCGGAACTCTGGTTCAGGCGCGTGCTGACTTCAGAGCTTCAGACTCAGCGCCCTTCCTGGCTCCAAGCGGAAGTCAAGCACAGGCTGTGCGATGCCGAGAAAGACTTGGCCTTTGCCGTCGAGCGCTGTGAAGCCATCCGCAGGCCCAAAGTTTGGCCAACCGGGCCCTGGTCCCGAGCGGGCTATTAGCGGCTTAGGCTTAGATCGGCTTAGCTTCTTCGATCTGGGCTTGTCTTCACTGCGGCAGGGAGAAGGAGCGCGGCCGCCACATTCGCGCCAGGAAGACCGAGGAAGCGGAGGAGACTGGGGCCGGCTCTAAAGTTCGGTTTGAGGGCGGATGTTGAGGACGATGCAGGGCCTGCAGCATAGGATTCACTTCATGAAGGACGCCAGGGTTTTTGTTTCCGTCGCACGTCCCTGGCTCCGAGGACGACCTGTACTCGGCCAGCAGTAGTCTCAGTTTCTTCGAGCTCGGATTCGGGTTGTCCAAGGAGTGAGAGCAGTATGCATCGGGAATAGGTGTGTCGCAGAATTGACTTTTGTTTCTTGTCAGGCTTGCACTTCGTCCATGTGCAGCGACATTTGGGAGTCTTCGTTGGGGAGCCCTCTGCAGAGGCGCTCCCCCAGGGCCCCAAGCCAGAGCGAAGTACTGCCAGCTGCTAGACTCTGCGAAGCCCTGCTAAGCTGTCTCAATGCGTCTTCTTCGTTGCCCTGTGTCAAACCCTGGGTTCCTGCAGCTTCCTCGCGTAGCTCGTTTCAGGAGGCGCGCCGAGCACTGGCGCAGAGAGCTGCCGATGCCGCTGCGACGCTGCTGCAGCTAGGCTCGGATCCCAGACTGGTGCTGCGCAAGGGATGCAAGGGCGGGACTCACCGTCTCAATCGTGATCAGTCAACTACTCAGCACGACATTGAGTGCAGCAAGTCATGTAGAATTGTGGAACAGAATTGAGGGAAAGCCAGCACAGGATTGCCTGAAGCCTTAAAATTATCCAAGCTAGATGGTCCGGACCATGCGATGCCAAAGACAATGCAACTCCACAAGCACATGTGCAGTTGAATTCCAAAAACACCCCCAGTGGCTTCGAGTTTCTTTATCATCCACAGGAGCCAGGGCAGAGAGTGCAATCCACAAGTGTTAAAGCCTTGCACAAGGCAGCCGCGTCGGGCTGCCGTCAGACGTGTGGCGTCGCGTCATCCGGACGGCCCTTCCACTTCAGAGCTTTGGCTTCGAGGAGGGTCCCAAGCTGCGCGTGTCGAGCCTTGGTGTGATTGGGAGGTGCTGAACAGAACTGGTCTACAGGTCACGACATGGAGCAGCATCGCAAAAACAAACCAACTGCTGGATGACCTTGCGCCCACGGAGCAGACCTGCATCAGACCCGGTCTCTTTTGTGATGTCGCACCTCGCTCCGAGGATTCCTCAATTTGCTCAAAATTGCAATGCCGAAGCAAGCGCTTGCACCTGAGTGCCGCCTGTGCAAATGCAGCCATGCTGCATAACCCAATGCGAAGAAAACACGCTTGCGATAGGCGCTTTGAACAGTGATACCTGCCGAAAGAATGCAAATGCAAGGTTAAGAGTGTCACACCAAAGCACAAAAGAAGGGCACAAGTGTCCGCCGCTGCATCCCATGCCTAAGACAGGCCCCTGCAAGATGAGTACATAAACCCACCGGCATCCAGACGCAGAAGCAGTGCAAAACACTGGGCTGAGTTAGGCAGCATTCAATGATTCAGTTTGCTTCTTGAAATTGGATTCCGTGGTCACATCTTCCAACGAATTCGATGTGTTCTGCAATGTGGTGCTGAGCATTTTAAATGGCTCAGAGCCGCCAATTGTGCATAAAATTGCATTTGAGCACGTTATTTGAGCACGTTGGAGACCAACGCCTCAGCAAGTTCTCCACAAATCCTGTATCGATTTCAGCTGACATATCGAGCTTTTCCAGCTCGGCACTGGCTTTGGATGTGGATCCTGGAAACCGAGGGCGCCAGGGATTTTCCCTTTGCTGCCAGAAGCTGTGCGTAGGTTGCCGGTGCAGGACGCAATGTGTGCCCAACCGCTGTGACGGCCTCTGCCATTAGCTCAACCGACTTTCCTCTTAAACGAACGAAGTTTCGAAAGGTGCTAAACATGATTTGGAAAGTGCAAGACCTATTGCAGATTTGTCAATTTGGAGCACAGGCTGCGGCATCAGACGGAATCCCAGTCGCCAATTGTCCTGAATGATGCTGGCCCTCCATGGCCCCGAAGAAAGGCGGCAAGCCGCCGATCCCTGCAACCAAGCTGCAGATGGAGCTGCTGCTTATGACCTCGAGTTGCTATTTAAACTGTCTATACTGGCAGCAATTCAGCCCAAGACATCTCGCTCACCTATCCCGACAGCTGCTGGGTCTGGCGCAGCCGCGGTCAACGCAAAGACCAAAGGCGCAAGGGGAGCCGAAATTGCGACTCCCGAAGCGTTGAAGTCGAGGTGCGGCAAAAGCGAAGGGCAAGGCCAAGGCGAAAGCGAAGGCAGCACCCTCGCCTGAGGAGAGCAGATGTTGTTGCAGCTTCGAGCTTCAATCTGGATTTGAAAGAGGCTCTCTGTCCCATTCAGGAGGCAGCAGCAATTCGGTTGCAGAGCCTGGCTCGGGGATTCCTGGCACGCCGAGCGGCGCAGCGCCTGTGTGCTCAGAAGCAGCGCCTTGGACGCGGGCTCGGTCCGGTCGACTCCTTTGTTCTTCTAGTCTACTCCTAGGTGTTGACTCCATACCTGCAACATCCTGCACAACGTTCCATCTCATCTCGACCTGGTGTGTTATGTTATGTCGCTTTGTTCCTGTTTACACCGGAATAGCGTAGCATCGTGGTATTTGTAGCACCATCAGCCTTTTTCAGCTGCAGACAGTCTGCATGGGCAACACGATCAACAAGGCGCATCCCCATTATTAGATTTTCGATCTTGGCGCCGCTGCCCCATGTAGACAAGAGTTGGCTTATAGTGACTTAGTGTGAGCCAAAGGGAGCCCGAGCTCGGGGCTGAAGTTCCACCCGAGGCACCAGGACGCCGAGCTCGCTGCTGCGGTGCGCGGGGCGGAGCTCGCCGCTCTGCAGGCCGGGGTCGCTGGGGACGCCTCCTCGCAAGGGGATGAGACATGAATTGGGACTGGCTTCAGTTTTGCTTTAGCTCTTCCAGGTGGAGCGGCGCAAGGCCGAAGCAGAGAGGGCCAAGCAGGAGGAGAAGCGGAAGAGGGCGCAAAAGCTGTCGGCTGAACCCTGGCGCCAGAAGGGAAAATCTTGCATGTCCCGTGCATGTCGGACGTGTTCGGGGTCAGTTCTGAGGACACGAAAGCAGCCTTGGAAGCAGCTTTTGACGGCGACGTCGCTGTGCTCGAGAAGTTGCTCAACTCAGGCTGGTGGGTCGTTGGGCAATCTCGTGCAGAAGAAGGGGTTGCTATTGCCACTCTTCGCCAGCATTTGGCATGTTTTTCATGGGAACCGCGACCCAGCCCTGGGACCTCTCAGATCTTACAATTGTTTTCGGTCCTGTCCTCAGGCCTTCCCGTTGATGCAGCCAATGCCGCCGGCATTACGGCCTTGAGCGAGGCCGCCGTGGCAGGCAAGGCAGAGGCTGCGCAGCTGCTGCTGGACAGGAAGGCTGGATGCGGCGGCGTCACTGCGATGCGATCCTATGGAGCCATCAGATGCTTTGGAGATTCGTCCGCGCAAAGGCCAACCCCAATACGCGCGGGGAGTTCAGCAGAACACCCCTTTGGAGAGCCGCATACAGTTTCTTGGAAGAATGGTCTGGCATGGCCGGCATTTCGTGTGGGTCACAGGGAGAAGCTGCCATGCCAGCTTTCAATGACAGCTGCTGAAACGTGAGGCAGGCAGAGCGATCTAGTTCCCTTGCTACTCGAAGCCGGCGGTGACCCGAGGTTAAGCCAAAGCCTCAACTCGTTGCTGACCTTGCATGAACTTCTCGCACAGCTTCACCAAGGAGACGACGACGGGCAGACTCCTGCTGATGTTTGTGCTCAGGAGCGTGTTAAACAGCAGAAGGGAACCAGGAGTGCGGTTTTCTGATGGCAGCAGGACGAGCTGTGCGAGCTTTTGGCTGCCTGGGCCACTTAGACACGAACAGAATCGTGCCACGCCAGTCCTGATGAGATCTGTCCAAGGATGTATCCCGCACAGATGAGCTTGTGGAGGCTCAGAGCCGACCCTCCAGAAGGCATCACACTTCGGCACAATCGCGAGCTTCAGCTTTGCCAGGACTTTCAAGAATGGGCGGCAGAACTCCAGCGCCAGGATCGGATGCAGTGTGTGCTTGGCAAGCAAGACAGACCAGCGATAGAGGACTTGGTTCAAGAAAGGATACGCAGTGTGGGAGCCGGAATACAACGACGGTGACGACACCGTTGATGGTGATGCAGTATGCTGGTGGTGGCAGCAGTGACAATGAAGAACAAGACACAGGAGAGGAAGAAGACAAGCACGGCATACCAATGATGGTGGCTTATATGTAAACGGTGAAGACGCATCCCATAATCAGCATTATGGTCATGATAGTTGTGATGGAGATAGCTGTCGCAGCGGCAACAGTGGTGGTGGTGGTGCTTCTGCCGAGCTAGGTGCTGTCGATGCTGGGCCTGTGATGACGCCAATGATTGCCGGCACAGGAGCACCAACGGCAACGGGAGGCCATGAGATCTGTGGAGGAAGCCTTCGAGGTGACGCCGAATACGTCCTAGCAGCATGTAGCGCCATCTAGCATCGTCGCATAGAAACAATGAAAAGCGAATGAGGCCGCCGCCAAAGCCTACGAGGCTTCCCAGATGATTCTTGCCAAGGCCAAGGCGCAGATGCGCAATCGTGAAGCTTGGAGCATTAGATCATTAGACTAGGGCGATCGTCACTCATTCGCTCACGTTTGCAGCGCCAAGCTAGACGGATTTCCCGGCAAAGGAAAAAGAGTATGGAATGAAGCTGGCTGCAGGCCACAAGGACCAAGAGTCGGATAGAACTCAAGAGCTGTTGACGAGCCCTGAGATCGCTTTCCGCATTCGTCAGATCGCAAGGATGCCGTGGAGGCCTGTGCCTCCGCGGACGCAGCCTTGCAGCGAGCAGAGGAGCGGGCCGCAAAGTGCTCTTTGCACGTCTTTGCCTTCGAAAACTCCGAAAGGCTGATGCCGCGAGCGCTCAGCATGACTTCGACCAGGCCCAGCAGTATTTTTAAAGAAGCAATATAATATATAATAATTATATATAAACTCTCCGAGCGCGGCTCCTTTTTTCGAACTGCGCGGAGGCCCAGCGCCGGCGCCTCGCGGCGGCGGAGGCCGCGGGCGCCGAGGTCGCCAGCGGCCCCGGGCGGTTGGTTCCAGCAACCCGGCCCAGAGCAGCAGCGCGATGACCCTGCGATGACTGCAGACATGTCCTGTTTTATTGTGGGAAAACTCTTGCATGCAATGCTTTTCCAGACTTGAAACTGAGGTGGCCCAGCTCAACAACGTCCTACTGCGTGATCTCGGCGAGCGCATCGCCCAAGGTGGCCGATGGCCCTTAGTGCTCGACCCCGGGGACATTGCACAGAAACTCATCCAGCCGCAGCCTCAGTATCCTGATGGTGTCAGCGTGATGCACATGTCTCCTCCTTTCGCACCTGACCTGACGAGGTATTCGGGATCATCACTCCTCAATTTCTTCCGCTCTGGTGACATGGAGCCAGAGCGCATCAGGGTCGCTCTCCTGACGATGCTCCGTGGCGGCTGCTTGACTGCACTTATTGCAACTCGAAGCTCCTCAGAAGAAGTCGCTCTTGCGCTTCATCTGGCAGGTGGCGTTCTTGCCCTGGATCTACACAACTTCGGAGCCGGAGTGGGACTGGACCTACTCTCCCAACCCTTCGAGAACGTGCGGGAGAATCTTTTCCAAGACATTTGCAGCCGGGCACTGCTGCAAGTTCCCAAAGGCAAGCGCATGCCAAACTTCTATGATCTGGTCACGAAGGCCCGCAACAAAAAGGTGTCAGGAACATGGAAAGCAGCTTGAGCACGCGAGGAGGAGCGACAGGAGCGCTTCAAAGCCCAAATGTTCGACGACAAGATGATTGCTCCCTGCTTTCACATGCCGACCTACATATTCATTATATCATTATAAACGTCTTTGTCAAAACGATACCTGTTCAGCTCAGGCGAGGTTCAAGTTCATGGTCCTCACGTCGACAGAGCTGCCGCACAAAGACTTGCTGGAGCACTTTGACGTGATCCGCGTCGTGCACGCTTCTGCATGAGGAAGATGTAGACCATGTCCCTCGCATCGAATGTTTGAAGTGGAAAAGCCGGCCGTGGCGGTGCGAATGCTCTCGTGAAAACTCCGCGAGAGGTCCAAAGCCTGGAACCGCCATGGAGTTGGCTCTTGGGACTGCTCGGGGGCTCTTTATCTGGGCCGAAACATGGCCTAGGCCATTTTCCCAAACCAAAACAACTCTTTAGCGCTTGTGTCCTACTGTGGCAGATCATGACATGGTCGCGCAGCCTTAGCTTTGGCCTCCCACGACCACCTTTCTGGCTCAAGACTTGGCAGCCAAGATGAAGGAAAGGGCATCCACCGCCAGGATCCTAGCGAATGCCCAAGGACACAGCGCGCAGCCTGTGAACCAAGCATGACCAGCAGTTGATGTCGGGATGTGTTTCCAAGATGCCTCCCTCGAGTTGCGCGGCTAAGGGGCCGGGAAACTCTGCCGGTGCTGCAGAGGTGTGGAGCCCAACCCCACGTTCGATTCACTTGGCATGACAGCCGTTCGCGAGGCATCGCAGCCGACGTCGCCTGTGGATGAGGTCGTTGTTTCTTGCTGTTCTTCACCGAAAGCTCCTCGCATATCCAACTCCTTGCCCCCTTCCTCTACTTGTTGGGAGAGTTACTTCAGTACTTCAACGATACCACTAGACTAGACCGGGTTGCTGCCCCGAAGTTCCTGTCATTGCTGCTCGTAGTTGTTCGCTTGTGTCAGGCCGTCGCCAACACAGATGCCAACCGCAGCCCATGTGGAGAACTGAGCGTCGCCATCGTCGTCCGAGTTTCGGCCAGAGGGCAAACGGGACCTGGAGGTTCCAACGCAAGACTGGAGCTTCGAGCCCAGAGGAGTCCTCACTCCCTCATGTTGTGACCCTTAGTGAGCCCGCGGCTCTGAGGCAGGAAGCTTCCATCTCCAAATCACCCGCCGAGGCCGGGGCTCAGGGGCTTAGAGCATCGCTGCATAGGCTCATCGGATCTTATCGGAATTTCCCGGTGCAGGAGGAAGCGCCGGATGCAGAATCTGGGTCTGCAGCGCCGGAGGCAGGCAAGCTCACTGCTTATTTTGAGAAGGTCTTCGCAGAGCTCCTGTCAGGATGCCATTGCCGCTGCAGCCACACGCCTAGTCATGCGCAGCTTTTGTCTTTGAAGGACGTGCAGACAAATAATGCTTTGTGCCCTCTGACATTGGCAGCCCAAACACCCCACGGCACTCGCGGCGCACGGCCCTACCACAAGACTTCAACGGACCTGATCCACGTTTGATTTCCTGTCTCGGGATAGAAGGAGCATAGACACCGTGTTGCTCGGCTCCGCAAGACTAGAACGCGAAAGAGGAAGGCCACTCGATCTTCTCAAGAGCGAAGTGAGGCAGCTCCGCTTCGAAGGCCTCGCCGTGGGCCGTCGTCTCAGAGGTTAACACGGACTGCTTTGCGCATGGACTCCGAGATGCTGGGGCGTTCGCTGTTACTGTTCGGAAGGCCCTCGACGAAGCTCGCAATTATTCTCATAAGCGCTGGACTCACTTTGCGTGCTTTGTCCGTCGGTTGCTGTGCTCGAATTTGACAGTGCCTGTGGACTCGAGGTGTTGTGTTGCTGGCCATTGCCGCTGAGCCCTCCCCCCAGACTCAGTCGTTGTTGAGAATTGGGCCCTCATGACCTAATGCGGTGCAGAGGCTTTGGATCATGAGTATGCCACAAGTTCCGCTCCTGATTGACAAGCTCTACTTTGCTCTTTGGTCGCAGGGTTTAGATACCCCTGCTTGCCCAGATGGCGCTGTCGAGGGGCAGTGAATGAAGCCCAGGGGGTGGCATTGGCATTTCAGCTGATGATGGTGCCAGTGCCTTATTCTGCTCGTGTGCAGCAGCGCCAGTAGGGGGTGCGGAGCGCCAAGGCTGGCATCTCTTCCACTGCCAGAGCAAGGTCTCTGTTGCATCAGAGGAGCTACAGTAATCATGTCTCAATCTTTCAATCCTAGGAATCTGCATGATGGGACACCCCCGATGCTTGCAGAGCTCAGCATCAAGTCTCGCAGCTGACTGATCGAAGGAAGCGCTGATAGCAGATCCTTGGAACCCCAGAGCAAAATCTAAAAGAACCGTAGCCAGAAGCCTCTCGAAACAACTGCCTCGAAGTGCGCACCTCGAAGCTCTCGAAGCCGATGCACCGTCGAGGGCGTCACTCCATGTTGACAGAGAAAGAGATGCGTTCTTGACTCACTCCTGCCCAAACTATGGCGCCTGCCGGCCAAACGGAGGCTTCTTCAGGCCATCCGTAGGGAAGATTGAATTCTGAGATGAGGCAAAGCAGGGAAGGCTGGCAAGGCTTGGCATATGCCCTTGAAGCGCTAGGCCTCCCGCAAGTTCACATCGGCTTTGTGCGGCGAAGGCTCGGTTGCTTAAGTTCCTGCGAGGGATCGAATTCGAGGCTCATCGCCCGGATCGCAGGGGTCAGTACATGCAGCTCCATCCCACTCTGCCGCGAACGTCTAACTCGTCCAAGGCCGATGCATCCCGAACGCTTCTTTGCCTTGGTGCGACGGCGCTTTGGGCCATTGGATCCTGGGCAGAAATTATCCTATGTTCCCACATCAAAAAGTCACCTGTCGTGTCCCGCAAACGTCTCCCATGTGATGCTCATATCTGGCAACTCCTTGGGTCATCGAGAATCGGTGGCATGTGGTGGTTGAGGCTCTCAACTTGAGGCTCTCAAATCGCGCCTGCATATTGCGTGCGCGTGTGCGGGCTTCCCTCGGAGCGGTCTCTGATCGACGACAGGACTCCGATCTTTCATGCAGCTATGGCTCGGGGCCAAAGCCGCAAGGCACTGGCACAGGAGACTAATAGCACAGCAGGATGATGTGTGCTCAGTCTTGCAAGTTTGCTGACCTGTGGGGGCGGCTACTGCTACCATATGAGCGAGCAACAAATGTCCTTGTTGCAGGAGAAGTTCACGTCCTTTCTGGCAGTGGTTGCTTGTGGTTTATTGGCAGCGACGACATGTGCGCTGAGTGGTTCTTCAGCTCGTCAGCTAGTGGCGGCCCCGTATGGGCCCATCTCGTCGGGGCTGCGGTTAACCGGAGTCCACGGACCAGGTCGGCACCTACTTCGCTGTGGGGGGCCTTGGCCAGCGGAGCAAGCAGGAGCGAGCGGACAAACGAAAGATCCTGCGCCTGCCGGCGTGCGCCTCTCAGGGGCCACGGAAACGGCCGCGGCCGGATCCCGGCGAGTGGACTTGTCGCTGGAGGTGCTGCGTGCAGTCGTCCCCCCCGCACCCGCACTCCTGTGCAGTTGGCAACTTTCTTGCAGGTGAGTGGCGCCCCAGCCGATGTTGATGCTTGGAAGGCTGCAGCACCGTGCAAAGGTGGTTCCTTGAAGCCTTCGGCCCGTGAAGGCGTCCTTGTTTTCTGAGCTCAATGACTGCTTGATTACCAGAGCAGAGGCGATCCGAGTCCAAAGCAAGCTTTCCAGAGACATCCAGCTCTGGGACACAGGCCGTTGCCCTCGAAGAGGGCGACACGCGCATGCTCAGCCCCCAGTGCGAGTGGGAGGACCTGGCCTCAGTGCCTCGAGCTTCAGCCAAGCGGAAGATGCGCGGAAGCGAAGCACATTGCCAGGAGATGCGAGCAGTGCAGGCCACTCGGATGAGTTTCCCAGTCAAGGAAGCTTTGGAAAGCCCGTCAATCTGAAAGTCATGCTGACTGCAGATGATGCTTTGTCCAGATGCTCGATGTTGGTCCAAGGAGAATTTGTCCCCTTGGGTGGTGCACTGGTGGCCGCTTCTGCGCGTGCTGCATGGCATCACCACCATGGTGACAGCAATTCCGGGCGCCTCGCTGCCTCTGTACGTTCCTTCCCGTGGGCCCAGCTTAAATGTCGATCATCGCCATTTCACTTGCGCGGGAGGCTTCGGCCTACTCCAAACGGTTGGGAGATCCCTGGCCACTCGAGTGCGCACAGGTCTGGGACTTGGCGACTCTGCAACAACCTTTGCTTGGTCTCGCAGTGATGCCAAGCTCAGGTGCATGGGCGCGAATATTTTGACTCAGAGTGCCACTGCACTTCCCAGCGGGGCCTTACAAAAAAGGCGATAGAGGGTGCAATTAATGCACGTAGGGACCTTGATGGCCAGCAGTGCTGTCGAGTAACTGAGCCCGGACTGCTGGTTGGTAGCTTTCAACAAGCTGACGAGGCGATTCGTCAGTGAATGCTGGCATCCACGCAGAAGTGCGAGGATGTGAAGCTTTGTGCCGGGACGTGACGGGTGCGACCCACTCAGGCACACTGGAAAACCAAAAAAGAACTGACTCTGCTATGCAGTTATGCCGGGAGAGATGCGAGCTGTTCACAACTTAAAGCACGGCTCGTATGAAGAGCAAAGGCAATGATACAAAAAAACTCTTTTGGACTTAATCGGTCTCCTAGCGCAGATGCGTTCCCATTCGGCATTTTGATGGGCCCACGCTGGCAAACAAGCCTCGGTAGGACTCTGCGACGATTCCACATGTCATGTCCACTCAGGCTCCGAGGTGCATTCACCCTCGTTTGTCCTTCATGGGCTTCCGACTCCAAATGTTCAACTGATCAGCCTTCGAAAGCCGGCACCAGCACTGCATGTCACAGCTGAGCAGGAGAGACTCTCAGACGAATTCGAAGCTTACTGCTAGATGTGGCACACTGGGCATTTGTCGTACGCAACCCAGGCCTGTAATCACCGCCCATGCATTGTCACCAGAAATGCTTGTCGATTCCGTGAAATTCGGGACGCTCTGCCAAGGTGATGTCCTTCGGCCATGTCCCCAGCAGCACTGTTGTCAGAAGGAGGGGCAGAGCTCTTCCATAAGGTGGTGCCATCGTACTGCGGGCCCCAGAGTCTCTGGCTTTCACTGCAGCGATTGCGGCCGCGTCCTGTGCTCAGAATCTCAAGTGCATGCTGGAAATCGGCTGAAGCTAGCATGACAACCGCCATGTCGGCCAAGGGCGCTTGCATTTCGGCTTTCCATGAGGACTGAAGAAGCACGTGACCTGAGATGTTTACATCGTCTGTAAATTGTTGCATGGATAGGTGTGTTTCGCAGTCACACCTCGTGACACCAACATGCACAGACACCAATCATCCAACAGAGTTGTTCAATGGTGTTGAGTTGAGGGATGTTTGATCGAGCAGCCGTCTGACACCATGCTGAACCGGCGTGTGAGAGCCATCACGAAGTTTCGGAAGCTTGCACGAACGATCCACTTTGAAGTTTGGGATGTTCACTTGACCGCCGCGGCTGATAATAAAGAAACGGGACCTGCACAGTGACTGCTACTGCTAACTAAGCACTGGGATCGCCGATGATCGCCTCTCAACGGCTCTGACCCAGTAATTAATTAGCGATCAAGGTCTCCACATGCTACCTGTGATCAGCTGGGGCTGTTGATCCACACGACAGCCGAAGGAAACTTTGCAGGAGATCTGCCACACCACAGAGCCTAGCCTAGCTCCCCTGCCACAGGAACCGATGCATCATCACATCAGTGGCACGAGGGAGCTCATTGCTTCAATCTCAGCGGACTGCCATCGAAGGAGTTTGCAGCTGATTCGAGATGTCAGAGAGAGAGAGAGAGAAAAAAAAAAAAACATTTTGGCACAAGCTTCACGTTTTGGCTCAAGGTCTCAAACCCGGGTGTGAGAGAGTGAGCGGAGGGGCACCAGGCCACTGCTTTGCCTGGCTCTTCGCAGCCATCCCACCTCGCCTACCAGTTTATTGCTCTTGGCGCCCTCGCAACGACGCTCTCCCGGAGGACGGGAGAGGACAGTTCGGGACGACATCGGCACCGCCGGCGTGCGGCGGGACACTGCCACCCACTGCCCCACTGCGGTCGGCGAGCCTACGCGCCTCGCGACCCGCCACCCCTTCGCCCGGAAGTTCGTGACTTGACTGGGGCAACGGCATCGAGAAGGCATTCTTCGCAGCAATCGCCTCAAGCTATGGCATTGGATCCAAACTCACGCGGAGGAGTGTCCACAGGTTACCCGAGTACATGAGCCCTCCCAAGAGGGGCCGAATGGCCCGAACCTGACACTCGAGGCCATCAGAAACATGTTTCAGTCAAGAAAGTGCTTTGGTCGTTCTTGTTTCGACCGCCCTGCTAGCACAGCTCTGCAGTACAACCCAGAGCGGCACAGTGCCCCAAAACGGGGACGTGGTGAGCGGGGCGCAGGGCGCGGGGGATATTAGGCTAGTGTTGTGAATTCAGGGGGTCCTCACAGTTCCCAGCCCTGCAGCATCATGTATCGAAGTTCACAAAGACCGCGACGTCCAGGGTGCATGCGTGCGCGGGGGGAGGGGGGTCCGGTCCGCCTTCCCTTTGGCTGAATTGAAAAACAGAGAGGTGTGCACTCACCGGCGAAGACGGACACGGAGCTGCACACGAGGGAGGACCCAAACAAATTGCTTGCCGTGGACGGCGCATGAGCCGACCTTACAGCAAATGGGAGGCAGCCCGGCAAAAGTCGCCCGGTCCCGTCCAAGCGGAGCAGATGATTCACGAAGCGGACGTTCAGGACTAAAGTTCGGAGGGGTCAACACGGTGCGCCGTCCCAGCCATGCCGTCGAGCACTTTCACTCCAAGCAGATAGACCCGTGCCAGCATTTGTGCCGTGCACCGCTGCCGCAATCTATTCCGTTTTGCGGCTCAACAATGTCATGTGTGTTTGCTTGTGTGTGTGTGTGTGCGTGTGCCTCTGTGTGTGTGTGTGCCTGTGTGTTTGTGAATGGGAGAGCGAGTGAGTGAGTAAGTGAGTGAATGAGTTTGCACGAATTGCAGACAGATAGTTATATTTATATGTGTATATATATATATATGTATACACACACTTACATTCTGAAATCAACTTTGACTTTGAGTGCTCAGGCCCAGAATATCTGGGAAGACCGTCACAAACTTCTTCCTGACCCTTTTGGTTGTGACTGCCCAGCCCACAGTGAGCTGTGCGATGTGACATGTGCGCCTAGGGAGAAGCAGTTTTGTGGACGTACCACACTTAGATGAGGCAGTCGAGAGTAGCGTCATGTAGTAAAAGTCAGCAATGCAGAGAATCCCAATTTTGGCTTCAGGCTACACAACACCAAACGCAGCACGGTCTCATTTTCAGGGAGCGCTGTTTGTGTTGGCCAGACGATCACCCCCTCGACCAAATTTGCTTCAATGCTGGACAGGGCAGGTCTGAGGCATTCAATTTCGAGTTTCCTGTTTTGGTGATTGAGCAGCTCGCCAATCAGTATTTTGCACGGTTGAACGAGCTGGTGCCAAGGCTTCACGGTTCAGGCATTATCGGGCTGTTTTGGATTCTATAGGGCTGAGGGGTCGGAGCGATGCTGTTCAGGATGCTTTGTGCGCGTTTCCAATCATTGTCCAACGAGTCGTGAGAAGCTTCTACGGCAGACAGCGGTGGCCTTCGCATAAGCTGGTGCAGATTGACGCTGCATGCTCGGATCCAGGTCATCCGGCTCCTGCTGCAGCTGATCTTTGGTCGCGGCTTCCCTTGGGTTGCTCGGCCGAAGAAGAGAACAGAAAGGAAGGAGGTTCACCTGTTTGCGTGAATTCTGGGAGCTTCCTAAGGATCAGGCCATCGCGGCAATCTCAGGACACCACCCATCGGCATGGGCCTTGGCACATTCGGTTTTCGACTCCCCTCTTTGGGTGGCGAGTGGCGAAGTGCAGGTTTTTTGTGTGACATGTGTGAGGCCATGGTGGCCCAAGCAGTTCCACACCAGGAACATACTGAGTTGCACATTCATGTTTGATGAAAGGTGCCTCACGTTTTCCCGTTGGGCCCCTGATTTTCCGAAGACTGAGCTCAGAAGAGCGGCGCGAGGCCGCATTTGCAGCTCGTACATTGCAGTTGCGCACTTGAAAACTCAGCCTGTGCAAGATAGCTTCCGGAACGCAGCTGACATGGGCGGTCAGTTTCACCAGACGTTTTGAGAAGCACGTGATGCTAAGCTAATGTCATGCCCACTTGATCGAGTACGATGAACAGGGTATGCTCGACGCCGGGTCCGAAAAAGACAACGCTCGTGACGCTAAGGGCAGATGCAGGAGAACTCTCGGAAAGCAGTCAGCGACATTGCCTCGGAGAGCCGTGTGACTCGCGCGGCTGGGTAGCTGCTGCCATCTGATCGAAAGGTACTTAGCGAGGCCTCATGGCACTGAGCTTGGCGATACCAGTGCGAAGCACTGTACAAGCTCCCAGAGGGCTCCGAGGACAGCTGGCAAAGGGTAGGAGACTTGGAATAGTCTGCGTGACAGCATGACTTGTTGCTCACAACTGCCTGAAGCCTTCCCGAGTCTGGAGTGAGTTCTATCTCGAGGTGGGAAACCTCTCCCCACCACGCTTCCATGGCGAACCGTCGATGTGTTTTGTGGCTGCGGTGCAGGCTCCGCAATGCACATGTGCTAGCAAGCGCGTTGGTGATTTTGGTTGCGCCAGGCGTTTTGATCGCAGTCGCGCGACACCGCGGCTGCACACGGGCGGCATTGCGCGAGGGTGACGTCGGAGAGCGTGGAGCAGAGGCCACCGTGGTGCCCATATGGCCTTTGAGAGTGAAGCTTCGTGAGCTTCAGGAGTTTTTTCCCAAGACCGAGTTCCAAGAGTCTGCCACAAGCGCAAAGATTCCTTGCGAACCAGCGATAAGAATAGGCCGGATCGCGAGAGTCACGCGTGTAAGCTGCGTTTTTTACGCGCTGCTGCAGGCCATGGGTATGACATCCACAGGATGCTGCCCCGGGATGAGCCCGAGGGCTGGGGCAAGTGCTCGCCACAGCCGGCCGTCATCGGCGGGGTTACATTTGAGGCCCATGTCAGCAACACGGCAAGCTTTACTCGGTAACAGACATCGTTCAATGATCCAGGAATTTCCGTTGGGAGTGGTCGCCCACTCGGACGGCGATGTGGTATACCACTCGACGATTGATGCAATATTAGGCAGCTTGGCTTTACTGCACGTGCAAAGGGCAAGCATGTAGGACGAGTTTGGGAATAGGCTTCCTTGTCGCGCTTCGTGGCAAACGCCTTGCAGGGCGAATCATTGCCGTACTGCGGATAGCCTCATCTTGCTTGCAAAGCCGCGCGTTTTCCACGCGAAACAAACCTTGTAGATTGGAAAGAATGCTTACATAGGTGGCCACTGCTGCGTTGTCAGCATTTGCACAGAGCATCGAATCCACAACTACGGTTGATGTTAGTATGTACTGCCGTCTACTTAAGATCAGTGCAGGTGCCCTGGGTCTACCGGACATTGGGCAGCTGTTTCCGGATAACGACCCGCCACGACCTCGATTATCTCGACACAATGAGCCTGGCAGGGCGAACAGGACACAGAAAGCCAGAAAGTGCCCTTGTTGACGTGCCGCCTAGGCGCTGGCGAGGCGCAAACTCCGAGCAGTTCTTTGACGAGGACATATAGCGGCGATAGATGATAAAGCGCACTATCACTATGCCTGTCCAAAAGCCCTTGAGAAGCTCATCTCAGAACCTTCATGGAGTCTCTACGATTGCAGGCCCTCCGAGTAGATCTGCTTGAAGAGAAGAGTCGTTTCGAGAGGCAGTTCGGCTGATGGGCCTGCGTGGAGTCTCAACTGCATTTCACCTGCACACACTGTTCTTCATGTGAACAGCATGGAGAACAACAGCTTGCAGACCCCGATTCTTTCGAGATAGACGTCTCTGACGCATCTGAGGATATCGGATTGGCAATGTCGAGCCGTTGTCGGCATTTGCGGTGGCCGTGAAATTCGCACACAGGTCCAGAAGAATCTAGGCAGCGTTGTTGACTGAGGATGTGACAATTATCGCAGAGAAGCCCCGCCTGGCTGCACGAAAGGCAGACGCACGGTGATGAACCGCTAACACGAAAGTTTTGAGATCGAGTTAGACTTATATCGTGAAGCAGCTTCTTCTCGCGTTAGATTCGTTAGATCCACCCAGGACATGAAAGACAACCTCGTCCGCATTTGCGACACCATCCCGGCAAGAGTCAACCTCAAGGCCTTCACGCAAGAACACATGACGAAAGCTTGCACCGAGCTCTTCTCGTTGCAGGCGAGAACGCACGAGAAGATGGACTCTGTCGGGGAGTGCCGTGCACTTGAATGCCATGCTTGTGTGCTCTTGGAAAAGGCTTGAGAGGAGGCCTGCAGCGAGCAGTGATTCTCCAAACACATAAGATGCAAAATAAGCAAGCACATGGTGCCAATGATCAGTGAAGCCGGTGAATGCAGGTCGATGTTGACACTGTCTGCGGAATGCTGATGGTGAGGCAGGCGTTTTTTCCGGCTTGAGAGTGCGAAAAAGCTCGCTGCTCGAATGGAACAGATGGTCAATCAAGTTGTTTGTCCTTCTGAAGCAAGCTTGGTTGCCATGAGCAGAAACGTTGATGTCGAGTACCACAACTGACGCCGGTGGTCCACGAGCCAGGGCAACCCGTCATGGCAATGTCGGCTGACCGTGGACGGAGATAGACGGCAGCCGTACATCAGGCCTAAGTTTAAGTCTAGATCAGCTTTACAAGCCATGACAAAGCGGTGCTATGGCCCTTTGTTGGTCATTGGAGCGTGGTGCGTCTTCCACTATGCAGGCTGTGCAAGTTGCATGTTGTGCGCATTTGCGGCATCAGTCTGCTGCAGCTTGTGTCTTCGTGCAGTTTGCTTCTCTGTGGGCTGTGTGGAGACGGTGCGGCACTTAATTACTCCTTCAACTTTAATCCCCAACGCACGCGGCAATCCCGATGCCACTCGCCAAGTTCACGCGGAAACCCTTGGCTTCCGTGCCATCCCGCGGCGGACTGCCAGGTTGTGGGGCTTTGGGCTTGCCCTTTTGTCCGGAAAGAAGCAGCTTTTCTTGACATGTTTTGCAGAGGCTGGAAGCCAACGCAGCGGAAGGCCGTGGCGGATTTCAGCGCTCAGGCTGCAAAGCTGCCTTGGGCTTAGTTTTTGGCTCACGTAACAAATTGTCTGCTGCTAGTTTTGAGGGAAGCGGGATGAGGTTCGACAACATGCGAGCTCCTGCTGCTCTCCTGGCTGGGGCCGTCGTCCCAATCGGCTTCATGGCATCTCCCAAGATCGTCCCAGACGACCCCAGATGGCTTGTCGCTTGTCTCATACTCTCTGTGATTCTGTGTCCAGTGCTTGTCCATCGAATGAACATGCTAAGAAGCGGGTGAAGAGAATGCATTATGTTATTGCTTCGGTGGCCATCTGCTGCTGCTTGGCCTCCATTATAGCTCGGATTCTTGTGTTAAGACGACCGCTTTGGAAAAGTGTGTCCATGCATGCAACGACTCAATTTGTCGGAGACCCGAACATCGTGGCTAAGGCCACTTGACAACCGTGGTGTGGTCAACCATCACCGTGAACAAGCTTAACGAGCCTTGGACGGAGCATTTTGCAGGAGCGAGTCGTCGTATTCTTTTGGAAGGGAAGTCAATCGACGACGCATTCCAGGAAAGATCCCCACCGCCTGCCGGAAGCTTGATGCAGCTTCTGAAGCAATACTACGAACTACCGTGGATAGGCCCGGACGCGACAGACCACTATGTTGTCAGGATGCTTGAAATGTTGATTATGTGGGACAGGTTGCAACGTGAACTTCATCATGGGCCTTCTGGCCTTTGCATGCCTACTCGTGACCTTCTCACTCGAGCCTCGGCTGCATTTGCGTGCATGCAAGCTCCAACCCGAACATTGCAAAGCTGAGGCGTCAGTTTCCGCAGCTTCTTACAATCTCGTGCTGTGGCTGTCATTCTGCATTAGCATTGTTTGCGTGACCGTGGTACATCATGCACGCCAGATCTCAGGTATGCAGGCCAGTGGCATGCACCGTCGCTGCAGCCATTTGCGTGCTGCTCGGTTTCTGCGTCCCGAAGCAGGCGTGCCTCATTCTGCGGGTTTTCCGCTACGGTCCCGTGAGGCTTGATGATTTCGATTGTGAACGACGGAGTGTCGCAAGGGGATGGGGCAGAAGGCCGACGAGAGGTGTTGATCACATGGACGACAGCTCCAGTATGAAATCTCTTCGCAGTGTTTCACAAACTGCGGTGGGAAGGCTGTTGAGCATGTTTTGCCAGGCGGTTTGCGTTTCGGCTCCAACATGTTGATGCTCTTTGTGCGCTACGTTTCGCTGCTGGCAGCACATGCCTTGCACCTTACCTCAGTCTAGTCATGAGTGGAACCGCGGCTTGCTTTGCGCATCGGCTGCGTGTGCTTTGTCGCAGAGCCCTGAGAGCCAGCCCGGCTGAGGAAGGGCCCTCGGCCGCTGTTGCTGTTGACATTCGTTTTCGCAGGCACTGAGGGGCATCCTTTTCGCTCGTGGTGGAATCGCCCTGCTCCCAGGAGCAGCCATCTACTTCGTGGTGAAAATTCAAACTGCCAGAGACACTGTGACCGGCGCAAAGTGAGGAGTTACAGAGTTACAGTTTACCCTCGTTTTAAGCAGTGGACAGGTTCAAAGTTCGCCTGACCTGGGTTTCAAGCAGCAAGAATTGATCAGGAACAAAATGGGGCTTCATCGGGGGCAGGCTCTCTCTTGTTTCCAATCCGTGGATACGGCACGCACGACAAACGATGCTTTACAGTGACTCTACAGTGCGGTATCTTGGGCCGGGGTATTCTAGAAGGCCCCATGCAATGCGTCGCCAGCATGGCTCGGACGTTCATCGGAGGGTCAGTCGGAGCCTAGAGGAGCTGCACATTGCAGCAGAGCACGGGACATGCAATATTATTAGCTCAGCTGGTCTTCGACGTTTGCAGCCATGGCAGAGAAGAAGAAAAAGCGTGCGCCGACTCTGATGCCAGGCGATGGCAGGCAGCACCGGAGAGACAGCACAGGGCCGTTGTCCAACGCACTGTCGCTGTTGGAAGGAAACGAGATTGGCCAGCCATCCTTTCCCACATTGAACTGGAGTGGGTCACGGAGCAGAGCGCAAGGTCCTGAGCGACTAGCTCACAGAGCCAGCTTATCATCAAGTTTACTTTAAATGCACACCCAAAGGACTGCGACCGAAGTGCCAACAAGGATGGAGACACCCTGGCCTTCAAGCATAAAGGCTTGCTGTTTTGTTAAGCATGGCGGCAGCACAAGTTCACCTCCTGCAGTCCAAATATGTCCAAATGCTCCGTCTCACAGGATTCATAGCAGAGCTTCCCGAAGGCAAGACTCGTGATGCACAAGGGCGCACGATTCAGGCCACACTTTCGGTGCTGGGGGCGATTGGGTGGTCGAAGGCTGGAAGTCTCCCAATAGTCTTTCAGTTTGAGGCAAGGTGTACGCTGATTGTAGCTTGGTGTGTTTAGGTGTCCCGTGCAGAGCTCGTCGACCACCCCCTGCAAGCAGTGTGGGTGACAATGATATCGGCTCCCGCAGTCTAGCGTGTACTCGTTCATTTTGCCCTGCTGTGTTGGGAAAGTCTTGCCACCAACGCCTTCGCTTGCGGCAGGTAGGCATGCAGATGGATTCAAACATTGACCCCGAAAGCAAGGTTGGCAGTTTGTCCTTGGAGAGTTTAGATAGAAACTTCTTGTGAGACAGCCGTAGAAATGGGTGCTGGCTCTTGGCAGGAGGACAAGCCCCTAGAGTTTATGCTGGGCACCCCGAAGCTGATCGTCGGAATGGAAGCCGTGCTTCGCACGATGTGCGAGAGCGACCCTTGAATCCAGTCACTCGCTTTGATCACTTTGGCATGTAGTGCTTCATGGCTCTTGCTGCATAAGGAGAAAGTCCGGGCCAAAATCCCGGGGCCCCTTGCTTACAATTTTCGTTCGGGCTTCCTGCCGTACGACACAGCGGTCTTGTACGAGATGGAGGTGACGCGAGTGACCCGAGGCTCTGTTGAAAGGCGCTCAGAGCTCAGCGTGCATGCACGGACCCTGCCAGGCAATGGGCTACCTCCACCGGATGCTGCAGTACCTGAGCCCACTGGCAACTTGCCAAGAGTCGTTTCTAATGAGACTGCTTGTGCTAGTCTAGTGCATAGTGCAGCAGACTCGCAGAGTTCACGTGAGGCACGGCTGCATCCAGCTGGCCACTGCTGCTGGCCTTGCTGTTGCTGCTGGCCCTGGTGTTTGGAGGCTGCAGGCTGTGCAGGGTGACCCCAAGCTACGATGCAAATGAGAGGTATCGCCTTCGTTCTGAAGGGCTCTGGAAGTACGAAAACCCCGAAGAAAAAGGACTTCGAAAATCTTATTGACGGTGGCAGAGCATGGAACAGGCATGTGCTTACAAGGCGAGTGTGCGCACGCAGGAAGCGAAAAGGGATGGCAAGAAGAAAAGATGACGTGATTCTTGTGGCAGGCTCGTGCTACAGTACCCCTTTGTGCGGACACGGGTGTGTGATGTGTGTGTACAGTCATTGACAGAACCGATGTTGGGAGTGAGTTGTGCCGGCGACTGCCCCGCTGCTTCCCACAAGTGGAAGAAGCACAACGACGGCAGCTCAGAAAAGAAGGCTGAACCGCATCTGGCCGCCAACAGCCTACCAGATTCTGGGGCATGTGTCGCACGTGCACACCCGGCAGCTATCTCAAATGGTCGAGAAATTACAAGCATCTTCACCTAGAGCGCTTTCTGGAGGATATCAAGTTTCGACTCGCATCCGACGCAGGAGCAGGAATGCAGTTGCTTGCCCGCCATGGCCAGCATCCGAAGACGGCATGCGCTGAAGTACGCTTGCTTAGCACTTCTCATCATGACTCACGGTATGCACGAAGTGATCCCCTGCATTTTGGCCCATTTTTGGGCTCACAAGACTGCTGCTTAGCTATGCCAAGGAAGCTGCCGCGACACTACGGGGATGTTGGATTCGTCACATCGGCACCCCATGTCGCAAAGCATCGCGTGGCCACTCGTCCGAGGTTAGAAAAACGGACCTAGAACTCATTTTGTTTTGATTTTTCCATGTTGGCCCAGTTCGAAGTCGGGAGCCGGCGCGGATGCCGGCTGCGCGCAGCCGCCCTGGGCCTGGGGACGGACACCTCCAGCGGCCAGAGACTCGGCAGGGCATAGGCCTCGCGGCTCGTGGCGTTGTTAGGGTTTGATATAAAGAAACAGCTTTCCAAAATGTGTGGGTAAGCTCCGAAGGTGACCTAGCTTTGGGTGCCGTTCTCCTGGCCTTCCTCGGCACCTACTTGCCACAGGCACCGGGGTCTGACTTGCGGCATCTCCTGAAAGTGGCAAACCCCGCGAAGTGTCAGGTCCTCCGACTGGGCCAAGGCAGCACATGGCAGGTGCCGGACAGGGGTTCCACTTACTGGAAAGACGACGTAGACGTAGTAGTAGCAGTAGCAGTAGTAGTAGCAGTAGCAGTAGCAGTAGTAGTAGCAGTAGTAGCAGTAGTAGTAGTAGTAGCAAAAAAGGGCCTCCGCACACAGTTTGACGTCGCAATCCAAGAGGAAATGTTACTGTAGGACTGTATTGGAATGATCCAGCGGGTCGAAGCTTGATGTTGCACTTTTAAAGAGACTGCTGTCAGTTTGCAGAGAACCATCAGGTCGACGGCTTTCGCTACTTCGCGAACCGGGGTCGGCAAGCCTTCTCGGATGCCACACACACGCTGGCTGGGAAGTACCCAGGCATTGAGAGCACCATCATGATCTGCGCCTTTGTTCGCTGTGCTCAGAATAATAGAATTAGACATGCACTGGGTCCGAACGTCATGAGGATAGGACCACCACAGAGCGTTCCTGCGAGGATATCGCGACAATGCGGTTTTCACGTATTTTGACACGTTTGGCGGGAAGACGCTCCCGGACATGGGCAGCTACTCCCGCTTGCTGCAGCTTATCGATCGAGGCCGTAGAGCAGGGCGGTTCAGATGTGACCTCATTTGCCACAGTTCGGTAGGCGTGACTGACGTCTATGATCACAAGCGCGGTCTCGAGCTCCGCTTGCGCGAGTACGGCTGCTCTGATGTGTTTGCTGCGACTTACTTCTCCTTTGCCGAAGCGTTGCAGGCGGTCCCTAATGAAGGTTCTGAAGGTGACGCAGTCTGAGCACTCCGACATACTCTGGACGCACCGCACTTCGGCCCTCTTGCGCAGGCAACCAGCTCCGAGCCTGATGCCTTGTTCTTCGCAAAGCTGCCGGAACAAAGTGGGGGTCGTGGGATCCGGATTCTGCGCCGTGAGGAGAACACAGGCGAAATAAGCTGCCCGATGTAGGCAGCCTGACATGACAGCTATATGTCCACATTCAGTGGTATGCCGCATGCTGGCGATGCTTCTGACAGGACTTGCAGCGCGAAGAGCTGCCCAGTGAGTACATCATTCAGCGTGCTGTACAGGACTGCATGGCACGATCGCATATGCGGCAGCCTGAGAGCTGAAAGAGGATCCGACAGCCAGAGCTCCTGTGCAGGATCTCGAGCTGATTGATGACCGGAAGTTTGTGATCCGATATTTTTTCGTAGCACGAGCCTGAACTGGATCCGGATGCTGCGCCAGCCAGAAATGTCGTGGTCGATTCTGATGCGGGCTGTGTGAGCCGAGGTGCACCGGAAGTGTATCTATCTTCACGAGGTAGGTGTCCTGATCGTGCACGGTGAGAAGTACGACCGCCGCAGCGTAGATATGGTTGTCCAGGCAAAACATGACTGGCCCCTCGGCATAGCCATGGTGTGGGGAAAAAAACTTTCGACTTTTCACTGCCTGAAACCGAGGTACGACGACCGCTCCGAGACGTATCTCATAACGCTGCAGTCCGCAGAGCAGGTGCTGCACAGACAGAATGTAGGTCCGTGTCTCTTTTGACTTCTTCGTATGGCATATGTCGAAAACTGTTCTACATGGTAGCTTGTTCAGCAGACTGAGTTTACCGTCGCATGTCCGGATCTGATTTGCTCGCGTGCACAGGCGCCGCGCTGGCGCAAGGCGATTGCCGCAAAACTTCGCGAGGCAAGCCAGCAGCGCTGACGTTGCACATGTTGCAATGAGCTCGGTGTGGCTTTTTGCGCCCTTCCGACATGTCCATCGTCAGGTGCTGAAGTCTAGACTCACTGTCTGCAAGATTCTGGGGATGTGAGCGGGCGACGTGCGTGAGGGTAGCGCCTTCTTATGTCAGCGGAGGCCCTGCCTGCACTCGGCCCGCTCCTGGACTCCAGTGGCTCCGACCGCTACACACTGGTGGGTGGGGATGCGCTGATTCAAAGCTCCTTGAGTGAACTTGCAAGCTTCATTGCGAACCTGGGTTGTTTAGGTAGTGATTTACGTTGGGATTTTCTTGAGAAGCGCTGATGGTTCTTTTCAACCCGTGAATCGGGCCCCTCAGGTTGCAGGGTAAGGTGAATGCTGTAAACACGCATAGGCGGGAGTCTTAGAGCACTGAGACGCCTGTGCAAGGCAACGGCGAGGCGAAGCTCATTGAGTTCAATATGCCCCCGAGCTGGAATATCGGCAATGTCTGATGGACAACTTGGGAAAGAAGAGCTCGAAGTTTCAGACACTAAGGTACCCCAATCTCTTCAGTGACCAGGAGTTTGTCGATAAGCAGGTGTACACAACTCTCCTGAAGGACATGATGGTCACGACCCTAGTACTTGGCATCGCGACTTTCGCATTCCAGCAAGAGATCAGTGGCGAAGCGAAAAGCCGCAGTCAAGCCTGCAAGGAGCTACTTCTGCTGGGAAAGCGAACGTCCGGTTTTGTTTGGAGCAGTGGTGATGCATGTGGTGCAGAAAAGATGAGACTCAAGAGAGTGGACAATCTGTTCCGACATGAAACTAGGGTCAATTTCGATATGGATATGGATGTGCATAGTATTTCTGATAGTTTTAGGGCTGTAAAAATGCATGCATACCATACCAAGCATGATTCAAACTGAAAGTATTGGATGGAAGCAAGCACAAAATATCTCGGAGAGGGGTCACGGAGAGGTTTAAATCGTAATTTGGTTCGTCTCTGCCCCTAAGCCTACCCTGTCTTCTCTGTCTTCGGGGTCTCGAAGAGCAGGGCGGCCTATCAGACTTGTGACTTCTTGTCATATATATATATATATAAATACATCAATATTTATTTACGAGTTGTTCTAAACCCGCGACCCTCGACCGTAGACTAACAGCGCACTTGAATGTTTTGATGTAGGTTTGGACCTGCTCCAAAACCAGCACAGCGCAAGGGCGGGCGCAAGCGCGATAAAGTAGTGTAAAAAGGTTTATTAACGCTTCAAGGTGGGAATGTGTTGGAAGCCATGCGCACGCAAGGGCGAGACACAAGCCGATTTTCGAATTACGGGCTACAACGCTTAGAAAGAACAACCCCCCATATTAATGGACATTGCATGGCATTATCATGCATTATCTATGAGTATCTATGGCATGATTATAAATTCAAAACAGAGATATATATGTATGGTTGTGTTTGATATTTGGTATATAGAAAAAATTGATTATTAAGAGATAGTTGGAAGTGACACGGTTTAAATTAATTTCGATTGGTGTTTGGCGGTATTGATTGATTTTTAGAAAATAAATATAGATATGTATATTTTCTGATATTTGAGGAATTATCGTCGAAATTCGAAGATAGATCGGTATTTTATTTAAGATTCACATAAGAGGCGATTTAAGATTTGTTCGAAAGCTTTCCGATTTAGAAATCGGTATATATATTTTTTTTTAGAAATATTTATGGAATCGGTTATTTAAAGAAAAAAAATATATATAAATATATAAGAGATCTTTTATATTAATAATGTAATAAAGAATATAAGACTTTAATAATATTTATGATATATTCGCACGATTATTATTTATATTTTTGGCTTTGTTAGGTTGAATTTAAGAGTCTTGAAACCTTTGAATCTAAATATATTTAATAAATACAACAAATATATTTAGGCTAATTTAATGATTAGTATTTTCATAAAAGGCTTGTATTTAAAGCCTTTATTCTAATAGATTGTTGCTATATTCGAAAATTCCTCGAGATTTAACGTGTATTCTAATTTTATATAATTACGATGATTAATATATAAGAGTTCATAAAATATTAATGGCCTTAATATTAGGCTATATTATAATCTCTACGAATCCAAGATCTATATATCTATTTATCGATATTAAAAATCTATTTTATCTATCTGGCCGAAATTTCGGATATATATATTCGTTAATTGCCCTATATTATAATGCAGTCGGTTGTCAAATCTATTGAATAAATCGACACGGTTTTTAATATCTACCCGAACCTAAGATCTAAATTAAAATTCGGGCCTAGATCCGTCATCTATAAGACCAAGCCATTGAATCCCTCCAAAATTTTGGCCATCTTAGAGCTCTCTTATTCGCCAGGTATCATCCAAGTGCTTCAGATAGAATTACAAGAAGAGAATTTAGAAAGATTTTAATTATAATTTCTTCTTTCAATCTAAAATATCAAAAAATTGCCTAGATAGAAATTATTTCAATCTCGGATACTTCTATTACTCCTATTATCTTACGAGAAAAACTCTAAAAAGAAATTAATCTTCATTTTTTATTATTTTAGAAATACCGATCTCCCACCAATATCTAAATTACTACTATAATATCCTAAAAATATTTTTGTTAGAATTCCGTTTTTTATATATTAATTTTTAAAACAATCTTAAAATAATATCTTAAAGCAATTTTCAGAGAATTATTTCTCTTATCTCTATTTTACGCCGCTTTTATATTTCTTTAATTCCTATATATTCGCTTTCAAACTTAAATAAATAGATAATAATCTTGAGGGAATATTCATATATCCTATATCCAAATTATAATCTTTAAAACGACATCCCCATCGTCATATCTCCAAAAGATCTTAATTTATGTCCCTTATAAGAAATTAAAATCAACTATTCTCATAGAGAAAATCGATTTTAGAATCCAACCAGTAATATTATAGCAAAAAGCAAATCGAAACCAACCATATTTTTCTTGAAAATAAATTAGCTAAGCTTATAAATCTACAAAACATCTTGATAAAGCAAATCTATTTCTCGATTCTGAAACGAAAGATATGTTTTCATTTATATTCAACAGGAAATCTGGACAATTCCCGCATATTTCATGATAAAATATTACCGGTCCAGCTCGCCTTTTGGATCCTTCGCATCCAGTACCAAGTTCGCTATTGGTGGGAAAATCTGGTTCTTGCTGTACAGGCACCAGACCCAAAATACACAGCAGCCCGGCTGCAGTTTCCGCATGCTTCCACAAACAGTTGTTCATTAAAAATGCTTCTGCCGTCAGTTTACCACAGCAAAGGAAATATGTATTTTCCGTTTGCACAGAATCCCTGCGGCTAGGCTGCCCATCGCAACTACATGTGCAGCGCACTCATTATCTCGGCCAGGTCACTTCAGAAACGACGCGCGCGTCATGGCATTGATGACCTTGACCAGCAGATTGCAATCACATTGGCCCAGCTTAAAATCGCAGATTGCCACACAACACAGCTGAGGAGCTGTGTTCATCGTCTGCAACTTCGCGGCCTGCGAAAGGTACAGTCTGTTGGGAGGGCACCAGCGCACAAGGCATGCTTTTGCCTGTGGTTGCACTTACCACTCAGTGCGGCACTCGCTCGAGGATATTCTTCCAAGCGAACTCGTGCAGGGGCAAGTCCGTTACTGACGTGGCACCCCTGATCTCCAGAAGCGGCAATGATTCGCGAGAGCGCTTGCACTATGCTAGACAAAACACTTTGGCAGTATGAGGGCACAGGCTGCAACGCGGGACGGGCAATCTTTTGATGCTGAGCAAGACACCGGCTCAGCTGTTCCTCAGCAGCAAGTCACCAAGTGTCTTTCTCTGCCACGCGAGACGAAGGCTCTCAAGCTGGGTCCATTTATTGTGCTGCAAAGCTACACGGTAGGCAATCGCAAGCACAGCTACCCTCCTTAGGAGGTTGTACACGGGTCCGCCGTGGTTGTGGCACTGGTAGGTGAAACTGCTGACGTCCTTGGGGCAAGAGCCACATGAGACCCATCTGCAGGCATGAACATGGAGCAACAAAGCTTCCTAGCATCTGATGCCCAGCTGCCAGCAAAAGAATCTCGCTGGGCGAAACTGACTCAAGCAGACCGCGATGGGTCCAGTCGCCTCAAGAAACGCATGCGATTGGACAGAGCTGCAGCTCGGGCTTTGCCTCTTGGAACCCTCTACTTCGGGTGTTGCTGCACACTGGATTTAGGCTGTGAGATTAGGCCAGCGGAGTGGATGCGTCACATTTCTCAGCTCGTGAAATCAATTCTCACATTTGCATAACCCCTTCCGTACGACCTGGACTATTCTCAGGGTTTCACCAACAGACAATCTCAATCTTGGGAACCCTGCCTAGAGAGGAAAGAGTCTTCAAAATACTCTGATTGCTCGGTCCGGAGGCCCTAAGGGCATATATAATTCCGGTGCAAGAGCGTTGGATTGACTCTTGGCCGGGATGCTCCAGAGTGCTGCCTCGGCCAACCAGGCACCTAATGGCACCTGTCTCGGGCGAAGGCAGCTGTGTCCCGACAATATCTAGTCCCTATGCTTTCTTTACTCATTCTTGCCTCAACCTCTGCTATGCAAGCAAGTGACCTTGAACTGAAGCATCGGAAGCAAAGTGCGATGGCTAGCTAGATCAGAATCAACACTAGAGGGGTGAGGCTGCCCCGCCTTGACCAGAGTCGTTGCGTGGGAAACACCTCGTGCCTTCGCTTTCCGTAGCTCGGCATGAGTCCAAGCCAGATTCAAGCAAGTCTTAGCCACGGTACCGAACGCTGAGGATCCCAGGCACTTTGCATCCAGGAATAGTCCAAGTCACCTGAGGCTGGATGCGCATCAAAGTTTGCAGGAGCCCTAATCGAATGTCTGCGGTCTGGTAGATTGGCCATGCCACCATTTACGTTGATGATCGTAAACTTGGCATTGCTGCCATCGACAAAGACTTCGAACGATGCCGGGTAGAATCGCTCCTGGCAGCAGACTCATTCTGCCCATGCTCAACGGCGCAACGGCCTAAGCCGCATGTCACTTCTAGCCACTAGACCTCGAAAGCGTGGTGGCAGATCTTGGAAAACAGCGACCGATCCAAGGGTATAATCTGGCAGGGGTGCTACAGGAGCAAAACCAGGAAATGTGAGCGGATGTGACGAATGTGATCCTTGCCTTGCTAAACACTGGCATGTCGTAGAAATGCTTCATGTACAGCCTCAGCAAGCGATCCCAGACAAAAGCACATTGGCGGCAGTGTCTCTCAATGCTTCCCAAGGCACCTAGCCACAACGCCATCTATTGCCAACGCGGAAACAACACGAGGTGATTGCCAAGGTGCTCGTTGTGAAGATGTATGCGCAAACTCTCTGGCATCTCCTCCCGACGACACAAGGTGTTGTGCTTGATGACACCGCAGGCCAATGATCCGCCGAGGCCGGAGGCCCCAGGCGTTTTGATCCGTGGGTTCGGGGAGTTTGGGTGGTTGT